TTCTGGACATACAGGAGATTTGGCTGATTCTTGGTCTTTCTATCCATGATGGTCTGGGAATGCCATTAGCCTCACAAATACAGATGTGAGCTCTAGCTCTATTTTGATTCCATATCCGGGTGTGACTTGACTATACATCATCACTTCTGTCCTTTTCTCTCATGCCATGGGAATAAAATCAGGGGCTGTGCATTAGAAAGAGTCTGCACCACTTGTTAACTTCTCTGTCTATGTGGTCAGGGGACAGGGACTCTGAGGTCCACCACAGTGCTCATCTTCAAAGAGGAATTCTGAAACAGTCTCTGTGACTTTTCCCTCACTTTTCTTTCAATGTTTTTCTTCTTACAGAGAAGCTCCTTTCATTTTAAACCAAAATATTCCTGGGTGCAGCTACATGTGGCAGAAGAAACAGGAAGTGAACAGTGGGACCAAGTGAGCCTCTTACTGATGAATGCCACCTCTCTGGGAAGGAACATGCAAGAGTTGCTTGTTGAAAATAAAAACGAGCCCCAAAAGAATGCACAGCATTTATAAATGATGTAAAAGCTTGCCTTCTGCTCAGAGTCAATGGTCATTGTCAGGAATCTCTGAGACACATGAATCACCTCTACCTTGTGCCGTGATATTTGCACCAATGCGAAGGAGAACGCTGAGTAGAAATATCCAAGTATAGAACTACAGAAACCACACAGCCAACCGTGGAATTTGTTTTTAGACGAAAGTGTTGAGCTTCACTGCTAAAATGCCAAAGTTATGACCTGAGTCCTGTACTAGTTTAAGACATTCAAAGATTGCACTTGTGCAGCCTGTAGCGGTGGTAGCTGTGAGGGAGCAATTCCAGCACCAGAGCAGTTGTAGACACAAAGAGACTGAAATGCGGACGTGTGACACAGCTGTACAAGCTGGCATTGCTGTGACAATGTGTAGCTCTCCTGCTTCACCAGAAAGAATCCGGCTTCTCAGCTGGAAGGCTTGCTGTGCTTATTTTTATGACGCTTATTCTCTGCTATAAAGCACAGCCTAGTCATGCTGCCTCCCTAGAAAGGCCTCAAGGAAAGACACTTTAGCAACGTGGAAATTAATAGCTGTGGTCTCTGTTTAAAAGAGCAAGTGTTAAATCATCTACACACACTCTTTTCAAGACTCGGAGCAAAACAAGTAATCCCTTTGACTTTGCTTTCCATTTGTAATGTTGGACAATTACCTGTTCGATATTATTTAACAGTGAAGGTATCATCTAACTAGTGTTCATTACATGGTTTAAAGTTTTATAGAATTTGCACCTTCAGAGTATTACATGGTTTCAGTGCTGATTTTCCTAGAATTAAAATCACTTCCTTATACGATCTGGGGGACATCAGTTATCTGAAACTAACATATGGTACACTCGTATGCATTTTAGCAAGTTTTTTTCCTTGCTCTTTTGAGAGCATTTATGTTGATTTTGAGAGAATGATGAAAGTTGTAATTAAAAAGCTGATGGAACTCTGTAATCTCAATGTGAGAGCACCATCTAGAGGCGAATAACATGCCCTGCACAAGGCTAAGTGCGCCCAGGATCACAATAAATTGACAAACTGCTTTCGAAATTAATTTGAGAATGCTTTGAGAAAATAATCTCAAACTTCTGTGTATTAATGGATTTTTTTTTCCCCTACACTGTTTATTATTCTGTAATGGTATAAAATGGTGTGAAATCTCTGGTGACTTTTGCAGAGAGGATGTGTGAAATCAACAGTCAAAAAAGTATAATCCTTTCCTGACACTCATGGTTGAAGAATGATGCAGTCTTTCCTCCAGTTCTCTGCAAGAGATCATTACATGTTGCTTTCCATGCTGAAACATATATTTGTGTGTCCCAGGCTGAGACAAGTGTTAATACAAGAATGTCTTCAAGCAACAGTCCCTATTTCTCTACCACAAGCATTCACCTGAGTAGATTTAGACATCTTTTCACATGCAGTAAAAACCATTTGTTTCCATTTTGATCATTTGTGAGGTTGTGTTTTATATCGTTAATATCTGACAGAGGATTGTGGGAGCTGCTGGGTATTACATGGCTTGACAGCTTTTCTGCATAGGCAAACCACTTGTAATCCCACTGAAATTGTAAAGTACCTTGGTTTAAACTGCAGTGAATTAGAAATAAAGCAAGCCCTGTGTGTCCAGAACTTTGTATCTGGGAAGACTGGACATGTTTATGACTCATAAACTTTATGACTCAGTAAAAAATCAAAATCCTGTTTTCTTTTCACAGGCATGAGAAATTTCTTTCTCACTAATATGAATGAAGCGTCCTATATTTTTGGTTTCAGTAGCAAAAGCAAACCCGGGCTGTGTTCTTGCTGATAACTGGGCGGCCCCACGCTGCAGCTAGAGAACCCCTCTCCCCTGGCCCCAGGCGAGGGCAGCGTTGCTAATGGCACACGCACAGGCAGGTGCAGCTCCGCCTGCGCTCCGATGCTTTTTTAGCTGTCGGTCTTTAGGTAACTATTTGTTCTGCAGCTTATGTGTCTGTAATAGAAAAACGTCTTTAAAGTAAAATACAGAGGAAAATGTTTTCTCTTTATAGGTATTTTACAACCTAGCATGTCTGGAAAATACATGTGTGCTAGCATACTAATTAGGCCCTGATACACAAAGTGACCTTGCTCAGCTTTCTAATATATGCAAGAACTGAAGAATATCCATGTAAAGATAATAAGCAATTTTAACCCAAGCTTCTTTCCAATTTTTTCTCATTTCCCCAGCAAGTAACCCCCTATCCTTGCTGGTGGTACACGGGACACTTGAATCTTTTATTGAGCATGTCAGCACAGGAAACAGCAATAGAAAAGAAGGTCCCCAGGTCAAACATCAGTTAAACCCTGAATTCCAAAACTTATCCCTATGCTAGAAGTTGGAGGAAGTCTCTTAGAAACCCATGGCCTCCCTAAAATTTCACCAGCTCTACAGGGGTGCAATTTACAGGCCTTTTTTTAAATTTAAACTTGCATGGTTTTGAATAATATGTAAGTCCACTGATGATGTCAATAAACTGACATCAGAATTTAATACAAAATTGACTTCACTGAAACTAGGGTTCCTGCTGTGCATCCCTACCTTTACCATGGTAAAAGAACGTTCTTTGCCACTGAATGTCCAGTTGCCTCTCAGAAAGGAAAGCTGGAAGCTAGGGCATTTGATCTGTAGGGCAAATTCTCATTTTAGGATCACTGGCACAAGTGAAGGGAGTTTCCCCAGCAAGAACATGAGACTTGTAAGAGCGGTGCTCTCTGAGGAAATGTCCATGAGGTTCTGTGCTTGTGAAACTGTACCAATGAAAATAAAAGAAATATCCTGGCAGTCTGGTTCCAGGGGCCACTTAAGAAAATTTGGTCCATCGAATTTACACTGAAGGAGGCCACTGCCACTGAACTCTTGAAAGCTCTTTTTGGTCAGGAGACAAAAGTATTGAATATATACTCTGTGTGCATACAGTGAGTGAACAGGAAAGCATTATAAAGCATGGCTTCTTGCTGCATGTATGATTTAGACAGTATGAGAAGTTCAAATGACACCTCCTCCCACATAAGATTTTGTACCTTTGATTTGTTTTTGCTGGTTCTAAGAAAGATATCTGAAGAAATCAATTTGTTGTACAGATGTAATGATAACATGAGCCAAGGAAAAAGCATGCTAAGCAAAGAATGACCTTTGTGATCCATCTCAGCAGATCCACCCTTGATTACAAATATTCATGACTAATGGTATAGTTTTAATTATAATAGAACACTTATTGTTAAGTGTTTGCAAAAGCTTTTGTATTTGAATGCTTTGCCAGTGCTTACTGAAACTCTGTGAGAGGCAATAATTTTCTAAGAAACCTGCCAAAGCTAACTTGTAGTCGAACACACTGATTTTAAAAAAATTTTAAATGCATGAGTAGTCTTTCCTTTCACATAAGTAATTTTTTGGTATCTGGATTCTTTTTCTGATGAAAATAGAAAGTGAGGGGACAAAATCTTTGTGGGAAACTCATGCTCCAGTGGATGATATCTCTTGACTTGTGATATTCTTAGGAATACAGAAATTGGGTCATACTCAAGGTGCATTTTGTCTTCTTTATCTCTTACTTTATTAGCATATTCAAAGAATTGAGACATATGGACATACTGTGTCCAGTTTTGGGGCCACCAGTATGGAAAAGATGATCCAGCAGAGGACACCACGATGGTCAGAGACTTGAAGCAGTTGCCCTACGAAGAGAAGTTGAGAAAAGCTTATTCAGCCTGGAAAAGGTTTAGGAGGGCCTAATAACAGCCTTTCAGTACCGAAGAGGAGATTACCAAGAATCTGCACCTTTTTACCAAAGTGTGTTGAGAGAGAAGGCAAAACAATAGCCACAAATTGAAATGTGTCAGGTTCTGACTAAGGATAAAAGTTTCCCCTTAAAGGTAATTAAACAGGTTGCCCAGAGAGCTTCTGGGATCTTTGTCCTTGCAGATTTTCAAGATGCAACTGGATAAAGCCTTGAGCAACCTGGTCTGAATTCATTGTGGACCCTGCTTTGAGCAGGCAGTTGGACCACGGAATCTCTGAGAATCTACATGATTCTGTGAAACAGGAGATAGGGCAAAGCCTCTTCTTTTAAAAGCATGGACAGCAATCTCTTCTGAACATTGAGAGATCTGAAAAGCTCTTCATATTGTTTCATGGTCTGTACTCAAAAAATAAAACTGCAAGCTATTTCTTTGGAAATGTAGAATATTGATGTGATATCATCACCTGGTTAGTCTAATGCTCTTTACAATGCAGCCACAGAAGCTGAGTACTTGTTAACACCTGTGTTCCACCATCACAGAAGGACTAGGATGTAAGCAAATGCCTGTGACAAAGTATTTATCATACTTGTGCAGTGAGATAATACAGAGAAGTGTTTTATTACACGGAGGTGGGATTGGCACCAGCAATAACAGCTGTCGGTGTGAGGCTCCCCAGAAATCCAAAGAATGAAAATCATGCCATTCAGTGTTCGTGTTTTTGCAAAGAGCTTTTACTTCATGCTTCAAAAGAACAGAGCAGAAAATTAAGCAGAACAATATGTTTTCATATTTCTTCAGAAATACAGTAGGTAGCATGCCATATAACTGATTATAAATTAGGAATAAAACCCCAGGAGAGAACCAGAAGAGAGATGGATAAAACAGTGAAGGCGGATGGAAAGAAAATAAATGTGTCTGAAGAGTCCAAAACATGACACACACATAGAGTGAAAATCTAGTAACACCTAAGAAGCTTTTTTTTGCAGATTTTATATAATTCCTCTGTGCAGATCAATACAGGGATGAAAAAACAAGATTGCAACCCCAGTGGAGTGGGAAGTATGTGCCTTTTGCAGGTGTTAGATCACTTGTGGCAAAGAGCTTGTAAACATTACATAATAGAGCAGTAATAGACTGGCAGCCCTGTGGTCTGCACTGCTGCCTGGAATGCAGGACTTCACATACCAAACAAGTTCAGCTTTCAGTCTCTGCAAACATCACCTTACAGTGTCCACCACATTTCTGGGAACATATCTCCACTTGCACGCAGTGATGCAGGGGGCTTCTGGTGATATTTCCTATCGTTCTAGGCAGATTTCAGCTCAGAGATTCGTCGACATAGTTTTTCCTATTTCTGTTCGTTCATCTGTAAAATGCATGAAGTAACTCTTCCCTCAAAGGTGCTGTGAGAATTACCATAAGCAGGAGACCTGCTCAGGCATTAGTGATAACACAGCTGTAGAGCACTCTTTCCTGGGAGGATACTATTCCTCTAAGTATATCCTTAATGTGATGAGGTCATAGTTGAGCGTGTGTGTCTTCAGATGTGCTCATTCCAATGCAATGTCCTCTCTTTACATTATTAGGCTGGTAGGCCGCTGTAGCAGTGACATATGTGATGGTTCAGCTTGAGAAGGCAGTAACTGGACATTGGATGCATCAAGGACTCCTGTGGTATTATGTTTGCAGATATTTCCTATACACAATTTCACTGTAGAAGGCCCTTAAGAGTTTTGAAGAGTTAGCATTGGATCCAAGGATGTCACTTCCACTTACAATACACTGGGTCCGGGTTTGTGTACAGTTGCTCCTTTAAGGGCAGATTTCAGAGCTCCAGAAGGAGATCTTTCCTTTAGTATACCGTGCTTCTTAAATGCTATTGTTTTCCAGAGGAAGAAACACTTCTCTGGCTTCTGTTGTAACCTGAAGTTCAAGGACAGTCTTGCAAATGTGCACAATTCTGTTTGAGTGTTTGCTTCCCCTCAGCCATGGGCATCCAGCCTGGTGTGTCAAAATCAGCCTTTTTGACCCTACCTGATTTAACTTTAGAATCAGTGTTACAGTCTGATATTTCAGACATGCTCTTCTTTTGAAATGCACTTTGACAAATATCTGCAGCCAAAGTCCAAATCCTCAGATGCTGAAAATTAGCCTCATCCTCAACAATTGCTCCAGTGAGTACTGAACATAAGCTAGAGGGATGCACTAATATTACAGTGGTGTCTAAAGAACCCAATCTGCAGAGTGAACGAGTATGTTTAGAGAACAGAGTTATGTAATTCATCTATTTTCGGGATTAGCCATCCCTGAAGTTCTGAAAAAGGTAACTGGGTTGGGCTATTTATAGAGTCTGTTCCTATAGTTACAGCACAGATGCTAGCATGGAACAAAAATGGTTAGCTCAAGCCATCTCCTCTGTGCACCTTAGTAAATTTATAGTCTCACAAATGTTTATAGATCTCTCAGATACAAAGAGATTTGGGGGTCTAGGATGCTACTATTGCCTCAGCATCTGTTTGCACATTAGCATGCCCCGTTTCCTGTCAGCTTCTGACCATGCCTGTGTTTTTCAGGTCATTTGTATTACAGAGCTATGCAGAGACCCCTTTTAAAGGAGTTTCCCAGTGTCTGAGAGAGGAAAAGGGGCATCAATCTGGAGAAAACTAATGCAGTAATTGCCTAAATTACTCCATTCTTTAATTTCACAAGGCTGCTAGGGATGATGGCTCAGAATCCTGCTTTTACATGATTCTCTCCCTTCTAAGATGCGTTTGTAGGCTCACTGTAAAACTGCAAATGCCATTGTTACTGCTGCAGGATGATAACTGTGCATAATAATTAATGAAAAAAATACAGTCCACACTCAAAGAGTTCACAGTTTTGAGGTCATGCAGAATTGTACAACTTACAGGAAGGGAAGGAACAGTTTGTTAGGATACTGGGTTTGGGCTGCTTCTTAAAGATTCTGCTTTTTAATATATAAATATTTGTATATATATATAGTCATTTTTATTTTTTCTTTAAAATTGAAAAATAGTCAGTTGTTTTGGTAGTGGGCGGTAAGAAAAGGGCAAAGGAGATAAGAGGAGGAAAGTTATCTGGCTAACGGAGAAAAAGCCTGTTCCTAACATAGGGGTTACCACAGAAAAAAGTCAAGTTGGGGACAGGATTCTATAGGGATGACCATTTTAATAAGGACTATGAAGCATGGAAAATGAAGTGACTTGCTTAGGCAGAATTGGTTAATTCTTACTTTCAGTAGTCTATCGGATGAGATAGGGAGATCACAATGTAAAACAAAGGGTAGCAGAAAATGAGGGCAGAAATATAGGGTTCGGTCCTTCACTACTCAACATTGTGTATTGTCATTCATGCACAGTGCAAGCTAAGTAAATTTTGATTTGTTCATACCCTAGCCCAAACTGCATAGATTAAAATGAGAATGTGCAGTGGACAAAAGTGGGGATCTAGGACTTTTACAAAAAGCCTAGAAAATTAAGATGAAAAATCTGGATTTCATGTGGAAAAACAGACACAGCCTAGGAATAGATTTTCAGCAGAGGCTAAGCAGAGAGCTAAACAGTTTAACAAGAATAATTTTAAATTGAGATAGTCTGTATAGCTTTGTGAGAGAGGAGAAATACGCATGTCAGCAAGGAAGATCTAAAAGAGACATACTGACTAGTATATTCTAGTTCACTGAAATCACCACTACAGTTAATAATAATAATGCTCTCTTCTACTGAAGATCATAGTAGAAAAGGCCAGGGTGATGATCTGCAGAACCAATTTTTTCTCCTTTTGAATCTCAGTGGCTCAACATAGGGACTGAAACATAGAGAAACAAAGAAACAAAAGCAAATAACTGTTAAGCACCGATACCCATACATCTTACCATAAAGTGCATTTTCTTGTAGACTATACATTCTCAAATCCAGCCAGAGAAAAGCATGAAGTAAAAAAGCACAACAGGAAGTGACTGATGCTCAAAATACATATAAGGTGCTAGACTTCTTGATGAACTACATTATGAGAAGTACTATAAGAATTTCATGTTAGTACTGACATGTCAGGATGGTCTAAGAAGAAAAATGAGTTTTGAGAAAATTACTGGTCAACATAGAAAGATTTAAAATATACATATAATGCAAATAAAATGCATGTATTCAAAATGTCATTTGAATTCTGTAAAAGAAAATTACTAATCCAAGAATTTGATTTTGACAACTATTAATAGTATGTCTTATAATTTAGTGAAAAGGATGGATTAAATAAAGTAGGAAAAAGTATTATCCCTTTAGAAAATAGTATAAATATATGTACAAATATATTAAGAGAATATATAGCGGAAACTTCAGGTCAAAATGTTAAACTACTGAGTTAATCTTCAATAAGTCTTGTACCTAAAAGTTTTCATTTAAAGACCTTTATTTCTGGGACAAGGTCTTTAATATATAACGTAAAACATTGTATTTGCTGTAATTAATATCTCAAATAATGTAAAGCTTCATATCAAATACATTTTTTGTCCTTAGTAACACCATTATTAAAGGGTCTGTGTCTTCTTGCATGTTTGCATAGAATCTAGCACAATATTTTCTTTCAAAACCCAAGCAAGACAATGATTTTTGCTAGTTCTCTATGTTTTCAAGTGTTTCAGCTGACTATGGACTAAGATTTTTTCAGGACGTTCACTGGATTGAAAGAAAGGTCTGAAATGTCATCATTCATTTGTAAATTGTACATGTCATTCCCATGAGATTTCATCAAGCTCCAGATTGCTTACTCGGATGCTATCTGCTCATCTGCAGAAAAAAATATGGGAATATGAACTTGAAATGTCTTTTCAGTAGAAAGGATAGAAAAATATGTGGCTACCTGCATAAAACATGCAGACCTTCATTGTTCCATCCTGTATCATCCTGAGGCTTCATGGCCATTTTATGCAGAGCTAGCACATTCATTCTTATGATGGTTTTGTTAGGTCAAACCTGATACTTGTAGATATCTGCTGTTCCCTACCTCCCACTTGCAGGATCAAGTGGACACTGATCTTTAATTACTCAAACCTTTTTTAGTAGATGTCTTAATAGCTTTTAAAATGATGATTTTATAGAATGTGCATGTATGTGCCTGTGTGTGCAGATGTATGCTGAAAAGAGGCTTCCTGAATCCTGAAGTCTTGAGTGAGGTGTTTCAGACTGGAAAGAGGGGGGAGGTGGATTTTAGACTCACCCCTGTTTCAGTGGTAGATGAATTTCCCTCTGGGATTACTTGTGCTCTCAAAACCAGTCTCCTTGTGTGGCTTGTCAGGGATGCCACGTCGGTTTCAAGGATGACAAAAAAGAACATAAGCCCTCATTAGAGCTCCAACCACATTGCGTGTCATTACAAGGGAACTCAACCCTGTGCAAGGTTTTTAGAGCCAGTAACAGGCCAGTAAACCCTCTGGCCTCTATATCTGTGTGAATATGCATATGCATAATTGAATGTGGTATTGATCCCCAAAATCCAATGATCCAACAGCCGTTTTGAGTACTGCACCAGGTTCTTATCTACCGAAAAAGTCATAAAGTATTATATTGTTCCTTATAGCAATGAGTTTAGCAAAGCATTGACAGCATGGCATTTCAGTGTCACGAGGGCTAATATCTTAAGTAATTACTGACTAAAATAATTTACCAGAACTTTTAAATCCAAAGTAAAACCTACACTTTCACACACCAGTCTATAAATACTTACATATTTAGCTTACAATTCACTAACAATACTTTTAAAATGTCCCAAGATGTATGTTGAAACTAACCATGGCTTTTCGCATTGTTCATGATGCAGAATAGCATCTTTGTTACTGACCGCTGAAATATGTCTCTCTAGAGACTAAGAGGTACCTCATCTTAATGACTTTCCTTAACAGCCATTTTAGCATTCCTCCAGGCTGCTCTGGGCTGTTTCACCAAGCTTCAGATTCTTCTCATGAGAGAGAGATGAGGTAAGCAGGGGTCTCCATTTAGGCTTCAAAACAGCCATGTAATGCTATGTGAAATTCTATGCAGCCATGGTATAGGGTGGCATGCAGAGAGCAAACACTCATACATTCATGATCATATCATCAAAGCCTGGTGTGTCCATGATAGGTCAATAGAGAAATTCCATGATAAACTGGATAGCTCTGTTAGATAACATAGCTAAATTACATTGAGAGCAAAAGGGGTTGTCCATTCCGACATTGTATATGTTTCACTGCATCTGTGAAAACTCTAGAAATAATATGGATCACAATTATCATTACAGAGTCCACTTTATCTCCCTAGGTAAGCAAGTGTACTTAAAGTCAGGTGACTGGGACTAGACTCTACCAGCTTCTGTTTTCTCTCTGATCTTTTACCCAGTGATGTTTGCATTTAATCTGTCTTTGCCTAGATGTGCGTAACCTGGAAACAAACCTCATCAGTATATACTTTCCTCAGAAAGAAATCAGGGAGGTTCACAACCACTGTGAGCCATTATTTTCAAATTTACATTTGCCAGTAGCTGCTAAAAAAACATTGTATAAAGCAGATTGGACAAAACTAAAACTGTTATAGGCCATCTTTTGATTTTCATATAAGTCTCTGCTCTTTTTTATCTAATTGGAAACTGGCATGTGGTCGAAGCTTCATCTAGCTGCAAGAACCCAAAAAACACCTGAAGATACCCAACATTGCTTACATAAATTACCAAACATGCTGCTGTGGTATTTGAAAAGCCACAAATCTTGTCAATCAAATGAAGTCCTCAAGAGTTTACTGACTGTCACTTTGGCTTTTCATTGTGTCAAGGCAGAAACATTCCTTGGACACATTTAGAAAGGTTGCCTCACCAATCATCCAGTGTGTCACAAATTACTTTGTTCCCTTGCTCAATGATCTACTAATATTCTCTCAGTCATTGTTGCAGTTAGAAAGCATTTTATCTGGAACTACCCACTGGAACAAGCAAAGTGGAAAAAGTTCACTTTTGTGAATAGCACAGAAATAATCTGACTGCAGTATTTAAGCCTTCAATTTAGAGGATGAAGAATTCTGTAGGAGTATTAATATACCAGATTACAATAATTGATTTGTGAAAATATGCTTTAGTTGCTTAAGAGTATAATTCTAGAAAGCTTTGTGTCCTCTGATCATATTCCAGTAACATACCTCAGGATGTGTTTAATTTCAAGATGCAGTATAATATTTTTCCCTGACAGAATGAAAAGATTATATGCCGTAGATTATAAAGAATTCAGAATTTTTAGAATATGGCCATTGTTCACTTACCTGGCTGTAAAATCTGACTAATTGCTTTCTGCTTGTTCTCAACCCTGGAGTCTGATTACATTCAGTGGCACAAATTCAACATAAGTGACATGCCACCTGCAAACAAAGCAACACAGAGATTTTTTCATGCACAGTTGATTCAAGTATCTGTACAATCTATACGGGAAGGTTGGGGAAGGTCAGGTCTTATCTTCAAAGGTGCCATGCCCTTGTTTGACATCTATAATGCCTCATGGCATCGAGAAGCCATTACTGTAATAAACTCTGAAGTATATTGCTATATCGTCTCATTTCCAGTATAACATTCTGTGGTTTTAGATGGTGATAAAAGAGAACACTCAGTTCAAGCATAGATCTAGCCTGAGACAATTCACTGGCACACATGGAGAAACAACCACACATTTGAACTACAATCTTCTAAGCATTATTGTATTTCAGCCCAAGTCTCATAAAGTTACCTGCTCTCACTTCTTCCTCTTCCAAAGGAAAAGAAAGTTCAGTACTGATAATGCAAAATATACACCAATAGTTTGCAATCAGTTTCTGAATTGGTTGCCCTTGTCTGGTAGATACCTGAAACATTTAATGGTTTATAGTTTCTTGACTGCTCTATCTAGTGGTTACCTGCTGCATTGGATCATTCACAGCCTGCTCTTTACAGAATATGGAAACTCAGAATCCACTCTGTTTTCCCTCCTCTCACTCCAAGAGAGGAAAAAATTGTCTCCTGTAGGTCAGTCCTCATTTGCAGGCACTAGAAATGTACCCTCACTGGTAGAAGTTTCCTAAAAAAATTGAGGGTTTTTTCACCCATATTTTGCCATTGTGTTTATATACAGTCTTATACCTACAAAGGGTCATGAAATGCCTTTTCATTAAGGAGATAATATTTTATTTTTCTTTCTGTCATGAGAGTTTATATACCTCTTTTTCACTGTAGTGTCTATAAATTTGGGTAGTTTTATGCTTCCTACTGAACAGCATTTCAGCAGTTAGTCCTGGATTTCTGGTTTCTACTCTTCCATTAAGTAGTGCCCAAAAGAGATCTTAATTTTTGAAAGGGATACTTATGAAAGAGAAAAATTTGAATCTTCATCTTTCTGAAGCATTAGAAGACCTCAATACTATTTTCAGCTCATTGTTACACAGTAAATATGCTGTGTCCAAACAAAAATGTACACAATTACAGTATTTTGTAAAAGAACTACATTCATTTGGTCCATTATCTGTCATTCCCACATTTGATATGCCAAGTTTAGCAAACACAGATGACATGGGATAAATTATTAGCAGCTGTATTTTCAAATAACATAATTTCTGGATATTACAGATAATAATCCAAATCAACTAAATTATTTTTTCTGCATATACAGATAAATCTATGAGAATTTTAAGCTGTAATTTAAAGTTTCTTTAATTACCATCACAGGCTCTATTGGTTTACAAATAGTGGAGTACATATATTTTTATTATTTTTGTATCTTCAGTCATCTGAGGCAAACTGAAAATTTGTGTATTTTTTCACATATGACTATTTTTAAAGTATCAAGTTTCACCATATTTGTTTGAGATTTTAAGTACAACTTATTTAGTACCTTTGAATAAAAATTACAATGAGTAAGAAATCCGATTTCAGAGTTGCTTTAAAGACTAGGCATGCAGCAAATGTCAGCTAAAATTACATCTTGTTTAAGGACATCTGCACTAACATACTATAAGTTTTCTGAAATTAATTAAGTATTTTCAATTACAACATCATACTCTGGTGTTTCCTCTGTCTCAGTTTTATTCAGAGCTCCAGCCTGGGGTCTCTTCCAGATTTACACGTGTGTTGTGAGGGGTGCAGCTGCAACTAGAAGAATAATGTTGGCCATCCAAGTCTGCTAACACTCATTTTGTAAGTAATGGCTTATTGCCAATTTTTGCTATCAGTTGCTGCTGGTTTATATGAAAGCATGATTTTTTTGTATACAGACACTAGATTTTCTAATGCTCACCCTTCAGTTAAGGCTTTGTTGTCATGCCAGAGGTTCCGTATGTATGCCAGGCCTCCGTAACAATACTGCCTGGGGCTTTGTGTTAAAGGTTTTGCATGTGTTTGTTATGGTAAAATAGAAAAAATTGAGCCTTTCTTTATCAACTGTGTAGGCATTTTTCAAATCGCTTCCTGGCGTGTCATGTCCATCGTACATTTGTAGTCACTAAAGCCTTCAGGTTAGCATCCTAATCTCCTAACAAAACCTATCACCCCATAAACCTCCGCGTGCTTTCTTTTTGCCTACGTGGAAGGTTATCGACAACTGACAGTATCATGTTAGAAGCCATCTCCATCCTGTTTTCTTGAACTTAAGTGGATTATTTCTTTACTTCTCAGTTTACTATTTACTGAGGGAACCATGTGATCTCTTTAGAACCTTTTAGACTTTCTGGTTCTTCCCTTCCTTTCCCCATCAGAATACCATCTATGTAAATCAATATTATAAAATATCTTTTTTACCTCTTTGTGAAATACAACAGGTATATAGAGTAACTGAAAATCATTCATGTTAAAAGCAATAATAACTTCCAAATGGTGTGTTAAGATGTGCAGCTGTAAACTTTTTTTTCTTTTTTCCTGGAGAAATATGCTGGAATTTAGACGCATCTAATGTAGGAAAAATATCTTGCAGCCAAAAATAATCTTTCTTCATACATATGGGAAAGTATTGATGATTTACACTTTTCACTTCTTAGAATGTAGGCGAAGAGTTCTATATTTCTTTTCCAAAACTTATGAAGTCCTAATTTATATCACAGCCTCTTCAAAAACCTCTTATTTTATCTAGTGCATTTGAGAGATTCAAGGATATTCATAGGTATAGCTATAACAGAACAGTGAAGGTCTAACTCTGTATTTTAGCAACTTCTCACTACCACCAGCTTCTCATTAAAAACAAGATCCTCTGTCATCTTGGGGCTTCTCCTTTCCAGCATATTCTTTCTCAAAGAAACCTAGTATCTGACCTGAAGTGACTATTCTTATTTCCCATAAGTATTTTAGATGTCAGCTTTAGAATATTCCTTTTAATCTTGCATTTGTAGATCACTAACCTCACTGCCTAATTTGCTTTACCTGTCTGCATTTACCAACACAAAGTTTTCTTTGCAAATTCATCCAACAGTTCCAGAGATCATGTTATCTTGGGCACAAATCTATGAATATTAGGGAATCTGAAATTAAAAGTCAAACTTCTTTACAGCTACCCAGGATACTTTCTTTTTGCTGAAACCTTTCTTTTCCCTGTAAATGCCAAATTAACAAAAGCATCCGAGGGTGGGTACATGAGGGTCAGGAGGGTGTGTGTTGAGAGTGACATCAACTGAGACAATAAAAGGGCTTCTAAGTTACTTAGAAGCTCTATTTTAAAGTTACATTTAAGGGGTCCACTAAACCAATTCAGTGGTCTTTAAATATACTTGACATCAAGAGACAGTCATCTGCCGACATACCCAAACCAGAAATCTGTTTAAGATACTATCTGGTAAGTATACTCTATTTTATTTCCAAGCTCTCTGGAAGACTTATTTAGAAAATTTTATCATTGATTCTTTATTTATTTCTTAATTAGCTTCTTTTCAGACTACCTTAAAAATAAAGTGAATATTAGTAAGATCAAACTGTTTCATTATATCCAAACCAAATTTGTGAAATGAAAAAATCTGAGATGGTGAGTTAGAAATATCTTGAAGTGAATCCAACTCCTGAATTCAAAATATTGGGTTAGATGGACTGCTAGGACTACATTCATACTATCATGTAAGATACCATGTAATAAATGCTTTGCTGACCTAGAGTAAAGCTGCAGAAAACATTGCAAAAATGGCACTGAGGAATTTTATATTTCTTAAGTTTCAGTTACTCCGTATGACATTTCTTAAGCTTTAACAAAAAGATGTCTTTTCTGGCTGCCAATACTGAAAATCCAAACTGGAAACTGATATTTGGACTGTGTCATTTCTGCCTGTTGTAGCATCATCAGTAACAAATATTTTTCAAATATAACCTAAGTGGCAGTTTTGCTGCTGATGTACAAAGCAGAGTAGAATTCAAACTGACAATGCAGGATTATCACTGAAAAAAAAAATGAAGGGTTCAATTCTGATTTCTGTTATATATTGAATGGGGAATTACATAACTCAGTAGTTATGCCACTATGCAAAATTGTCAAGAAAAGTGTCAGTCTCTTCATTTTAAAGAATATGTAAAAGAAATGGATAAAAGAACAAAACTTTTCACTTGTATAGCTATAGATGAGTATTTCCATATACTTGGAACATATAAACTATTTTTAATAATAGTAATGTTATTATCAATAACAACAACAATAATGATAATGATAATAATGATAATAGTATAGCAAGAACATGGTGGTTTTCATCCAATTATCCAAGAGATGGGTACCTATATGATGATGATGCAGGGCAACTAAGGCTGACCAAAGTTCTTAGACTTGCCTAAAAAGGAACAGTAAGTAGCTCCCAAAATTAGTATTAGAACTAAATTCTTCATTTGCACTCCTTGCTCTAAACCATTTCACAAACAAATATTTTTCAAGATCACTTCTCTGATGTCTTTTCAACTTTTCTTCTTCAGAATTAACAGAAGATACTTGAAATACAGTTTTACACCTATATTCATTTCTATCTTTGCAGACAAAATGACTTCTATAAAAAATCTGGCCTGGACTGCAATCATTTTATATGCCATATGCTTTTTTACAAACTCTGATGGAAGACCAATGATGTAAGTACATTATTATATGCTTCCAAAGTTTGGAGGATGACTTTAGCTGTTCTTGAGAATGTGGTTGGTTTGTCTGTATCTGTATGTGAGTCTTTCTGTCCCTGCTTTTGAACACTGGCCAAATTCTGTCCACTAGATATAGCTGTAGAGATCTCAGATACTCTGAGTTCTTACACATTTTTGAAAATAGGCAGCTGCATAGAAGGAGAAAAACCATGGAAGTGTTCTCTCAGGAATATCCTTTGGTAAGCTGCATCTCTTATTAGACTTTGGGAGGGGTGGTCTACAAAGGAGAGCATCTTTTTTATTGCGTGAGAATGTAGCTGGAATTTGCACTTAGGTACTAACATCAACCATCACTGAGACACAAATCCACAGGAAATCATGCTTCCTTAGCTGTAGTGTTCACTGAAAGCTATCACTGAATAAACTCCATAATTTTATTAATCCGTTACCTATTATGGTATAAGATCACCTACAACAGCTAAAATAAATGATGAATACATAGTCAAACAATATTGTCACAGAACTGGACTACTTCCCACTTTTGACACCTTTTTGCTAATATATCCACTACCAATAACAAATCCATCTCTTCTCCAGATGTCATTCTGTCCCTTACAAATTAGAAAGGTAGGTTCTATGGCTCTGTATTGTGATACCTCACAAAAGTTCCCAAACCTGGGTTTTTGAGTGAAGATCTAGAATTCAAGAAGGGCCACAATGAAATCTCTTCCTCTGTTTTGCTTTCATGCAGGAAAAGATCGGTGAGTGAGATGCAATTAATGCATAACCTTGGAGAGCATCGACACACCGTGGAGAGACAGGACTGGCTCCAGATGAAGCTGCAGGATGTGCATACTGCTCTCGAGGATGCTAGGACCCAGAGGCCTCGAAACAAGGATGATATTGTTCTGGGTGAGATCAGAAGTCAGAGGCTGCTCCCTGAGCATTTGCGGGCAGCAGTGCAAAAGAAGTCCATCGACCTGGACAAGGCTTACATGGATGTACTCTTTAAAACAAAGCCATAATGAAAAAAGCCAGGGCGTTATGTCTGTCCAAGTAAGCACATGTCTGTATATCATTGATCAAGTAGGGCATTTTATTATTATTTATTCAAACTGCAATAAGGATTGAAGGTTCATTCAAAATTGTAGCCCCATCCAGTTAGACATTTCACAATCAAATAATAAAATATATTTACAGTCCACGCATGACCATTGCTGCTAATTTCTGGGTATCTTTTAAATGGTTAATATATCTTATAAATTTCCAGCATAAAAAGAAACCCAAAACAGTAAGAAAGTTGAAAAATAATTTAAGACCAGTTCTACTACTCTTACAGGGACAGCATTTGCATGTAACACTAGGCCTACTGTTAACTAACAATGAATAAATGCAGTAGAACCTGTCTCCAGAATAGGGCACCATTTTGCCTAGGGTTAAATTTTGTACTAATTAACTTTGTACTAACTACTTAACTTTGTACTAATGAAAATATGTAAATTTAAATCCACATTTATTTTCTGAAGAAGGTCTAAAATCAGATGAACATTAATTACACAGCAAAAACCGCATGATAATAATTTAGGATTAAAGAGTGCAAACATAAAATTTAAAGTAGGAAGGCAAATCTTAAGATTAAAGTACAATGAGATGAAATTAAAACAAATTCTGTATGAAATAGAAGAAGGAAATTTTGCAAAATACCGAAATGCAGGGAAGGTTTGATTACCTTCCCTTCCTCCAAAAGAAGATAACCTGTAATTAGCTGCAGAAACAGTGGGAGCAGAGATGGTAGCACGTATCTAAGCCCAGCCCTAACTATAGAACTGGGAAATGACTCTGTACCAGACAATTGCAGCTGAAACAAAAGTCTTGCAATATATATTTTTTGTCTCTTGTTTTCTGTGTAAACTATCTCTGAATTTCTGCATGTTGTGTTAGGCCTCATGTGTAAGTAGTTTTTGTTTGTGAGACCAGTGTGATTTTTTTGTAGAATTGGGATCTCAGTTTGACAGTCCCCAAAATGAGAAACATTAACATGCAGAAATAACCTGGGAGAGGAACCATTAGCTGTAGTACATTCAAACTCTTAGCAGGACTCAGAGAGAATCAGACATAAATATGGATGGAAAAAAAAAATTATAATGATAATTTTAAAAAGCAGTAAATACAAAATTATTTTGAAAGGCATATGCACACACGTGCTTAGGACTCTCAATCATTTCTGATTAATAAGAACATTTTCTCAGTAGGAATAATGGTGAGTGCCTCCAAACTGGCCATTGCCAGAGCTCAAACCTAGAAGAGTTGCTGCTCTAAGCCAAAGTGTTTGTATGTATGTTCCCATATTGCTCCTTATTTGTTTGTTTGATGTCTAGCATGCCTTGGGGAACCTAGTAAAAAACCTCATGAATCGTTACAAATATAAATACAATCTGCTGGAGGCTAGAAAGGTACTTGTAACTAGTGAACTGTAGTTCATAATCTTGGCTATACTTTTAGTAATGTAAAGGCCCCGATGCTGCAAGCAGATGGTCTGCCTGTGCAGTTTGGTGCACCCCACACACAGGCAAGGGTTCCATACCACTCCTCTATTTGTAGAATCGAGGCCTTAAAGTGCACTTTCTATTTATTCTTTTATCAGACATCTGTGCTAACGTAAAGAAATAAAGTTGCATTTTTGTACCTATGTCTCACTTATGTATTACAAATAAAGTGGACCAAAAATCTTGGACATTATTTTAAAGCATAATAACTGACTGGCCTGTAACTCTTCTGATTTAATCTAGCATTTGGGGCAAGATTATTAAGACATTTTATTTTATTACAGCAATATAAATGCAAAAATAACGATGATAGCAATTTTTATTTTTCCTTTTGTGTTTATGCACACAAAATCTCATTGATGGTTAAACAAAAGGTGTTTACCTAGCACATTTTTATGTCCCCTATTTATGTCCCCTTACAATACTGACACACATGCAGAAGCTATATAATCTTCAACTGCCAAATTCATAAACTGTTGCCTTTACATCTAAACAAAGACTTCTGTTATTTAAACAGCTTGTCCTTTCTAATCTTCAGCTATCCAGTAGATGAAAGATTCTTACACAAATATTTAAACTTCCTACACACTTCAAAAAATACTTGTTGCTTACAAAGGGGTTCAGGGTCAGATACAAGACGATGCACCACTGAACACTGGCTAGAAATATGAGCACAGACAAACTATGCTCTGTACTCTCATTTATGGCTAAAATTTGCTTTGCCCACGTACAGTATGAGTCTTCAGAAGGACTAAGGACAACACAGTGGCACATGAATTAGTGCTAAGGTAATGCCCGTTAGAAAAAAAAAAATTCCTCAGGGGAAGTAAAACAGTACCATGTGAAAAAAAAAAACCAAACCCATGAAAACCCATGAAAAAGTGACAAAGCCAAAAATCACAAGAACTCTAATAAAAACTAGACAAATTGTAAGATCTGAAAGTAAAACCTACTGCTGGTGATTTAACTGCTAGTGATTTGGCTTTCTTAGCTGCTTCTGCTTTGGCTGCTGTAAATACTGCAGTCTGATATTGCTCAGCTCACTGTTGAACAGCACATAACATCTGACTCCTCGCCTAGTTAGCGCATTCTAACAGCTTTTGTGCGTGCTGCTTGGCCGTCATTGTTCTGCTGGTGGATTTCTAGAACTGTGTGGTTTATCTCTGTGGTTATTGTTAAAGGATGAGGAAGAGAATTCGTTTAACAGATTCATGTTTTGCTGTATATTGTAGCAAAGATTCTGTCTTTTATGGGGCATTTCACTATAGCAAAGACACAGATCCTTGCTGTCTTGCCTCCTTTCCCTCCTCTCCCCAAGGAACATAAGGTGTACAACTTGACTATCCAATAATCCCTACCTGAAGCAGTCAAAGCAGCTAATGCATCAGGCAAGTCCAGAGGTGTACGCTCACTGAATCTTTCGATTACTTCTGTGTCCCTGAAAGAGAAGGATTCTTTGTGAGATATATAAGAAGCACACAAAAAGCATTGGCTGTAGAGTTCCAGTCTCTGAAATCTGGTAGCAAATTTGTCAACTTCCTCCAACAGAGATTAAATCAGAACCCCTGCTCGAGGTGAATATACTCATCAGTAGGATATAGATTCATGTGCCTCCTACCTGCACGTTTTCCCTGGGAGGTTTGGTCCAACAGTGGCTTAGAACAGCATTTTATGAGACTGCGAGTCACAGAATCATAGAATGGTTTGGGTTGGAAGGGACCTTAAAGATCTTCTAGTCCCAACCCCTCTGCCCTGGGCAGGGCCACCTTCCCCCAGCCCAGGTTGCCCAAAGCCCCGTCCAACCTGGCCTTGAGCCCTTCCAGGGAGGGGGCAGCCACAGCTTCTCTGGGCAGCCTGTGCCAGGGCCTCACCCCCCTCACAGGGAAGAATTTCTTACTTAGATCTAATCTAAATCTACCCTCTTTCAGTTTAAAACTGTTACCCCTCATCCTATCACTACACTCCCTGATAGAGATCCTCCCCAGCTTTCCTGTAGCCCTTTCAGTACTGGAAGGCTGCCGTAAGGTCTCCCCAGAACCTTCTCTTCTCCAGCTGACCCCCCCACAACTCTCTCAGTCTGCCCTCACAAGGGACGTGCTCTAGGCCCCGACCATCTTCATGGCCTCCTCTGGACCCACTCAAACAGGTCCATGTCCTTCTTATGTTGGGGGTCCCCAGAGCTGGACACAGCACTGCAGGGGGGATCTCACAAGAGCGCAGTAGAGGGGGAGAATCACCTCCCTTCTCTTCCTCAAGAAAACCCCATACATGGTGATTGATCTTCACAGTGGGACTGCTCCAGAATATCTACTGTGTCACCAAACTGGCATCCCACTGTGCACAAAGAACAACAAATAAACATTGAAAAGTCTGGGCAGAGATCTGCTGCTTCTCTTTTTCCTCCCAAACTCACCACTAATTCCAGTTTGCTTCGATATACTTATTGCCTGGAGTTCTACACTTCTTCCAGCTGATAGGGAAGTCAAGCTCTGTCTGTATTTAATTATGATGCTACAGGGAGTATCTTAGAAAAGACAAATGTTGTCTTTAGATCTGAATGCAGTCAGAGCTTGGTATCATTTTATTCTCCCCACATGAGGAGTGCAAAGGCCTCAAGTGTCATCTTAACAACTGTGACACTTCAGTACACTGGAGTTGCCAACAATGTGGGACATGGTAGTTCTGCTGGAGTGTTATGGAATGAAAGCCACATCCACTAATTATATTCCTAAATAGACTGCAGATTACACAGACTCTAGATAACCTACAGGGCTGTACGACCCTAAAAATAAGAGTTGAAATTTAAATCAGGAATCAGTTTTAGGATGAACGTAGAGAGAGCAGACAGGTCAGCTTGTCTAGCTAAACTGTATTACAGCCTTCTTTGGTTTTTCTTCTGTGCCAGGCAGGGACAGACAGGTGACGGTACCAGAGCACCACAGGGCTGGACTAGAGCTCTGGGTGCTGGGTACATGCTACCGTGTAAAACCGGTAATGGTTGTACCTCGTGTGAACACGGACAGAGCTCCAGAGGAAGGGCAGCTGCCCAGTTATTGTCTCCTCAGTGCAGATCGGTGGGGGAAGGTAACAGATCACGGCAGTTCCATCATCCCCTGAAGCCCATACAGGCGATATATAGATAGGTAGGTCGGCCTAGAGGAGGGACCCAAGGAAAGTGTGAATAAATTGGGGGGGGG